GGGAAAACTATCTAACGAGACATGCATCCCCACCATGTATACTAAATTTACCTTTACATTTTAAACAATTACATATATTATTACTTTTAAAATTTTATATCGTATATTTTAAAAGATACGTAAACAAATATCTTGATTGATTATCTTTACCTTTAAACACCAAAATTAATGATCCAATATTTTCTCTCTCATCAATTGTTTTCCTCGGTCAATCTAATCCTTCACTATTTCTCTTCTTTCCTTCATCCTTCAAATATCAAAAGTGATTCTTGCTCCGGCAAAACTATTAAGTAAAAGAGGTTGGACTTTTTCTCTCTTAATTCGGCGAAATTGTTGCAATATTAAGTCTCCGAAAGGGTAATACTCGATTACAGCCAAAGGTTAACAGGATATTGTACGTCTGACGAGATACATGTTTTTAGATATAATGTGTAAAATTGATATTTGACACATCAAATGAATACTAAATACACATTTCTCTAAAATTTGCTCAAAAGTTCAATTGTATAAACTTTTACAAATAACGCAATACATGTTTAGTATACATGTATTGTTGATGGAGAAATACATGTATCCAATAATTTTTTAAGTTGAGAAACATATATATGCAGTTCATATTTCTCTAAAATTCATTTGTATAAACATTTACAAATCAGGCTGCGAGATACATGCTCGAGATACATGTATCATTAATGGCGAGATGCACGATCCACATTCTAGAAGTTGGCGTAAAAATTAAGACAACAATTGTAAGAAAACGCCTCAACAACACTGTAATTGACTATTTGGGAAATAATTCGAAACTTTCACATACAAAGGTGAGAATTGAATGGATGAAGAAGATGAACAATACAATAACAAAATTATTTGGGTTTATGATTTCGTTATCTTAGGAAAAATTGTTAAAGTCGATATCAAGAATCTTTTAAAATTTGTTGTTAATTTCGTTAACAATTAATTCTTCAATTATGGAAATAAGTTACACCCCTTCAATTCAAATTAATAAAATAGAGTATTATGACTTTAAAAACTATCGCAGACATGTATCTAGTCATTAGTAATGCATATATCTCGAGGCCAAAATATAATGTAAAAAGTAATATTATAAACTATCGAAAATTCTTAAAATTAAGATAATAAAAAAGTGAAATTTATGTAAGATGCACATTCTTGAAGCTGTAGCTCGTATGTAAAGCAGTCCTAGTCCATTGGGCTTTTGTTTTATTTTTAATTTTTAACAAATAATAGTAGACAAATTAAGAGATGTTGTTAGAAGGGATCTCTTGCTAGATTTTAGGAAATAATTAAAATTTGAATTGATAATGAGCATTTGTTAAATGGCGAGGAACTAGTATTATTCAAACACAATTCGCTTATCAAAGGTGTTGTCATCCAATCATTTTTTCATATAATTATTTTATGGTAATCAATATTTATTAACCCGATTAATTCTGATTCACATTGTATATCCCAATATAGCTAATTACAGAGGAAATAGTGCTATCCACTACCAATCATGCATATGGATAAGCAACAATACCAGATCAAAAACACTATTCATTTTTTTTTTCTGAAAGCAGATTTATATTTATGAGCTATCTGAAAAATTGTTTGCGTACGTACGTGAAGATTGATTTTTACAAGTTATCCCTCATGGCTTATGAGCCACTTTTTTTTTTTTTTAATATAATAGTTTGTAAACTAATGCAGGATTTAAGATAAAATTACCGAATAAAGTGTTAAAGACAATTGTATATGAAGAACAACGAGTAATAATTAATCAATCTGTAACCCAGGAGCGTAGCTACGTATCTTACTTGCACTCTCTTCGTCGAGAAATTATATTGTATATACAAATAAAATATTGTATAAAATGGTTAAATAATGTATTTTGGACACCCTAATATAACAAGGTATTGTAGCCTAATTGTTTAAGGTGCTTTGAAAGAGCCACACTTTTATGATTTTGCGAGTTCAAATCTCGCCAACAACAATTTAAACCTCTTTAATTCAAAAACTTTCATGTATATTACGTAGTTAAATTTTTAAAATTTCTAGGGCACCTTTCATCTTTTTCCTTTTTTTTTCAATTTTCTTCATGTATTAACATATTTTTTCAAAAAAAAATCATGTATATTACGTAGTTATTTTTAAAAATATCTAGTTCAATTTTTTCCCCTTTTTTTTTCAAATTTTTTCATGTACATTACGTATTTTTTTCAAAAAAATTTCTTATATATTACATAATTTATTTTTGAAATTTATAATGCACTCATTCAATAAAAAAAAACATATTCTTATATAATTTCTAGACACCATTCATAAAATTTTTGACTACGCCATATAACAAGCTAAATTACAGCTTGTACAATGATAAATTTTTGGGATCATGCCAAATCCCCGTACTATTAGTTGTGGAGTAGTTTTCACCTTAAAAAAAAATTGACAGACATGCATTCAACTCTCGGGGGTAATAATAGCTAGAAATATAAAATTAGATACACTTCATGTGGCCAATTAAATTAAATTTTTCACCCTTTTACTTCCTCCGTCTAGAATTGTTTGTGCTGTTGCATTTTTTAAAAGTCAATTTGATTAATTTTTAAAGTTAAATTAGATCATATTAATTCGATATTAAAAAAAAATAGATATTTAAAACCTATATGAAAAATAGTATAAATTGCAATTTTTGTATATTAATATGATGAAAAGTTACATCTTAAAAATGTTTCAAAGTTTATATAATTTGACTCTAAAAATAGAGACCATGACAAACAATGTCGGGCGATGGAAGTAACATCGAGTGTTGAAATCCACTGAATCGACAAGAGAAAAAATCACTCTATCTCAGGACTCAGACCGCAAATATCTATTTTTCAAAGTGTATTCTAATTTTAATACATAAAGCCCTGCTAGAACGCTAAAAGGTGGGGAACAAGAATTGTTACGATAGAAAAAAAAATGATTATAAAAAATCAACAACTCACTCTTCTTAAACAACCAATATCCTCCACATTCTATTTAATCATGATTTGATAAATCATTGATAGGATTAAGTTTGTTAGCTGGTATTTGTTTATCATTTTACCACACTTTAAATTTAACTCGAACAGAAATAAAACTGTTTTCTTTACCATCAGGCCATTTGCTAGCTTGAACAAACAGAGATATATATAATAAAAATATAAGGTACAAGCAAAACAAAAAAACACAAGGTATTAGATACAGAAAATTTTGTCCATAATTTGGAGGTCATAATTTATCCATAAAATTTGAAAGAGTTGATAAATGCATGAACTCCGTACAAGTACTGATTCTTTTTTTTTCTTTTTGGTGGCCATGTGGTGGAAAAGCACAGTACTCTATCATGATCTCCTCAATAAGTCCAAAGATCACTTGTAAAAACAATCTTAAAATACTTTATATAGATACTATTCCTTTAGAGAAAAAAGTTGTTGATCATGTGCTTGGTCCCCAAGGCCACTAAAGTATATGATTTAATTATATGTTAATTAAATTTCCAACCATATTATAATCAAAGAAACATCACTACCATATTATCATGTTTCTTTGCTTAAGAAACAAGAAAAAAAAGGGAAGGAAATTGCTTGCTTGGATCCCCTTCCGCGAAAAGTAAGCCTTCCTTGAAAAGAGGGTTCTTTAAAGAACTATCGAAAAGGACCTAAAATATTTTTGGAGTATTGATCATTTATTTAACAATTTTAAATTTAAATTGTTTAAATATTTTTAAAAATATTTGACGTTCAGTTATTGGTTATAATTGAACTTATTAATATAATTTATGAACCAATCCACTACCCGCTCATACTAATTATTAAACCCCACTCAATTAATAAACTAATTCTCATATCAAAATCACCCTAAGCACGACTAAAACACAATGAAACTACGGATTCCTGAAAATGACATTCAAAATTATTCGAATCTGAATCGAAGCCCCAATTAAATTTAGGTTGAGCCGCTTATTTAGGAAGACACTTTCAGTAGGATTCTTTTTCAAGCTTGAATTCGAAATTTATAATTAGAGTTAAAAAAGTAGTACATCTCGAATTAATTTATGTACTTTTATTAATATAACTTCATAAATATTTATGATTTGTTTCAAATATTAAAACTTAATATATTATTTTTTTTAAAAATGTTATCAATTAAGTAACATCACATAATTGAGACGAACAAAAACTTAAGATGAACATAGTCAAACTTTTAAGTTTATCAATAATTTTATATACTTGGATTATAATATGTTTTGATTGAGGCTTGAATATATGATAATGTACTGCTACAGACATTTTCGCATCAAATTTTTAGAAACACACATTGACAGTAGTTTTTCTTTTGTTGCATTAATAATGAGGTGTGTTTATTAATTGGGTGGAGTTTAATTAATAATGGGTAGGCAGTAGATTCATTTATAATTATATTAATTAGTTAAATTATAACAAATAGTTGAGCATCAAATATTTTTAAAAATATTTAAATAGTTTAAATTTAAAATCGTAAAAAAAAATGGTCAATTTTGACTCAAATGTGGATGACAAGGGTATTTTGAAGCCAATAGGTGAGTGAGAAGGGTATTTTGAAGTCAATAAGTGAATGAATGATAATTTTGTACCATTTCTACTATTTTAAGGATATTTTAGGCCATTTTTCCAAGAATTAAATAGGAAAGTCACCTAGAAGTTAGGTATGAATGAGAATGCACCCTTGAGGAATTTAGCATTTATATTTGAAATGTTTGATCGTTTCAGCAAGTTTTATATATTGTTAATCGAAAAGAAAAACTTTAATTTACTTAAAAGGGTAGTCTGGTTTACTAAAACTCTTGTTATGGACAGGATCCAGGGAAGAATCAAATCGCAAAAAATTATTGTACAATCTTTTTTCTACCAAAGATTGTTATTAATTTACTTGATTCTATTAAATATGAGTCTCATTAAATCTTAGATATCTCCCTCCCATGTGTGAGTCTTTTTCATGTGGTAAACATTTCAAAATAAGACAATCACATATTTCACACTCAAAAATATGACCTAGTAATCAATGAAATAAATTTTATTGAAAACTATAAAATTTCACTTTCAAATCTCAGCAACAGATCAATTACAAAAACTCGCGGAGAATCAATCAATCAAATCCCAAAATTCAAATTTTATTAGATAGCAAACACCCCCATAAAATTAGTAGGTTCAATCTAATCCGGATGTTACAATTATAAAAACAATATAATATATAGACTCAAATTTCAACATACACTCCCCTTACAATATATCCATTTAATTTATTCTCCTAGTTCTTAATTAGTTTCATCACTTAGAGGTATATATTCCAACATTGTGTCATTGATAGGGGCATCAACCTTTACCTTTGTATTGGTGTGTGCATATCTCTAAAGGTTAAAAATGAGGCTTTACTAACTACTTTTTTTTTCTTTGCCTCAAGTCAGTATCTTCTAACACAAGATGCCCACCCAACATTTTTTTTTTTTGCTTCAAGATACTTAAATTTAAGTATTAATCATATTTGAGGGCCCCTTACATTAATCAAGGATTCCCTTACATTGTCCTAAGTGCTACAATGATCAATGTCTAACACTTGCTTATCATCGAAGGCATCTTAAGCATTAATTACGAACTAGCTACCTAGATATAAATATAACTCTAATGTCATAGAATAATAGACGTATCACAAATCAATAAGAAGAAGAACACAACAATTACAATTTACACATAATTGACATAGAAATAAAGATGTATACAAAGAGAATGGTGTACCTATTTGAGTTCATAGTATAACAGTAAAGAAACAATGGATCTTGAGCAACCACCCAAATCATATTAAAGAGACTATATATCTCTTAATAAACCAATAGATGTAAGACTCTTCAATAACACTAACAATTTTCATTCTTTCTGTAACACCATAATTTAATTTTGAAAACTTGGATTTTTATGTTGAACTTTTTACGTGCAACAAGGGGACAGCTATAGTGGGTAAGCATCAGTGCCTACTTTCTTCTATGATTTGGTTATTGTGTTAATTAACTCTAAAAGAAATCAAGAAAAGGACTTTCCCCACGATGGCCTATAATTAATTGGTCACTGGGGGAGGGTGAAGTCACTTGCACACCCTAAATACATTAAAATTATGATTCCAAATTATATGCATTCATAATGTAAATTAAAATGTTACTTTAATCTGTTATAATATGTTGTCCTGTCTTATTTATTCTCTACGTACATAGTCTCTTTTAATTAATGCGAGAGTGTAAATAAAAATAAAATTACTCTACTGTTAGTTATGAGTAATAGAAAAAAGTAAAACTCATCATGATGATTAAAATATATGGTCCAAGAATCACTTATTGTCCTTGTGTCCATTAAAAAGGATACGTGCATTTTAAACCGGCAAAGAAACGGGTAATCAGGAGAAAAGTGGCTTCGATATTCATAAACAACCAGTAAATCAGACATAATTAATTCCCTTAATCAAAGATTAGAACAATTGGATGGGGGAAATTCATGATAAGACAAACTGCAGAACCATATGCCAACCAATAATTCCTCATTAGAATTTTATACTTTTTTTTAATCTTTTTTTTTCTTTATCTCTTACCTTTTTGTTCAATGTTCAATGCACATTGTTTTAACTTTTACCATTGCACTGCACATAACAAAATACCGAGAGATAACTAGAAGGGTAATTAAATTAGGTTCGTACAAATAATCATCCATAATAAATTTTAAAATACAGTGACATTGTCAATGTATTTTTATTTTATTTATTTGGTTTAACTACCAAAAGGTAGTGTATGTTATATTCCAACAAAAGATACAGATAAGGGGGCTACGTCTTACCTCAGAATACAACATTTAAATGGTAATTAATAAATGTATATAAGTTAAATTGATGAAAGAAAGTTTATTTCAAGATGATTTTGGGTATTGAAAAAATTGCGTACCAGGCATATTAAAAGCACTAAATAGATTGGGATAAGTCGAAGTTGATGGTGGTGGAGAAGTTGTAGTAGTAGTAGGAGGTAAAATAAGAGGTTGATGAAGCTGAAAGCCACTTGACGAACTTTCTCCAGCCATATAATTGTTGTAACGAGGACTCTCGTTATCTGGTCCTTGATCATATAATATTCCTATAAAAACATGTCCTGCTATCTTCACTGATGTTTGATATGCATATTGATCAACCACATTATCTATCGAACTTACACGAATACATCGAAATACTGCTGGAGAACTCACTTCCCCCGGAAAATTACCTCCTTCGTGATCATCACCTATCACTACATCAAAAACAACACACCATTTTTAAATAAAGAGTTTAATTAATATACACGGACAATATAGCACAAAATATATATATATTTTTTTTGAAAATTTAACAGGATTAGTTCCAAGAGTACTATAGTAAAAGTAATTTGAAAATGGTACCAACCATACACAGAAAAGCTACAATAGTTAGGGTTTCATTATTTCTGTACATAAGCTACTATTGAATATGTATAATCTTCTAAATTAAAGTATATCTTAAATTGCTTAAGCTTTTAAACTAGAAAATCACAAAGAACATTGTACACGATATCCTACCAGATAAGAGTCTTGAGTTTGATTCTTACCACAACCTAGGGGCGGATCATTAAGGGGAGTAAAAGAATATTATATATACACGATTAAATTTTTTTTTTATAATTATATATAATAATAAATATTGAATGGTGCCTCTTTCTTGACTTGCTTCTTCATTTAATGAATTTTACTGTAAATTCTAGATCCGCTATTATTTCACTCATTATCTACTTAAATATGTGAGAAGCGGAAATGGGTTCATCTGAACTCTGTTTGGTGAAAATTTTTACACTATATATAATTATTTTTATGTATTTATAATATATGATGAATTTTCTTGACTTCTTCATATGTTTACTTATTTATATTGTAACCACTTAACTGAAAATCTTCATTTTCTCTACTAAATTGTGACCCTATTTATATTTCTTAGGTTTATAGTTATATATAGTTTCGTGTGTTTATTTTTTTAATATTTTAAATCAATTTATTGAAAATTCTAGTTCTGTCATCCAGCGGTGGAAAAAGGTTTTTTAGATTATGAAAATAGTCACAAAGTTGAATAGATTTAAAGTACAATGATGAGTATGTGGAGATCTATACAACATTACTGTGATGATAACAACATTACCTTCATTTGATCTGTATCTTTTAGGGTTTGGCCCATTTTGAAGCTGCTGTTGCTGAATAGTAGTGTGATGAAGAAGATGGTGCCTGGGACGCCTTGTGGAGACAGGGACCCAAGTACTCTTAACATGTGTTTCACAATGAAACCCTCGACTCTTACAGCAAGTTCTGCACCTAATATATGTACAATCTTTTTTGGCTTGATTTCCACAATCTTGACATCTACTGCTACTTAATGATGACGATACTCTTCCTTCTTCTTCTTCTTCCCTCCTCATCATCTCGAACTATTAATCGTTGTTATAATTACTTCTTTTACGATAAATACACCACTAATTTCAGTTGATTTTACCATTTGGTTTTCCCTTCTTTAAATGCTTAAGTATTTTTTGTTGTTAAGTTTCTCTGTTCCTAAATTTGGGAATTTGTGTTTGGTTCTTTGGTTCTTTTTAGAGTTCATGGCTCTAGAGTACTATATGTTGGGACTTTTAGGGGTTCCTTTCATTGCTTTTTTTCTGGTACCTTTCCACCAATACTGAATTAATTACTCATTCTTCCTCTCAATTTATGTGATATAATTTAACTTGTCATGTATTATTTTAAGAAAGAAAAAATTTTGAAATTTATAATCTAAAATAAATTATAAATATTTGTATGGATAAAACCATTTCATTCAAAATAAATTGTTAATATCAGATATAAAAATATGTCATTTTTTTTAATCATCAATTAGAAGAATAGTGAATCTTGAAAAAAAAAAAGGAAAAGTATTAATTTTTGTTATGTGTACATACACGTGATTCAGTGTACTGTGGATCATTTGCCTTCACTCTGTGGAGTTCATTACAGTGACAACAGTTGCAGAATTATACCACAGGATAATTACTGGCTACTATTGAGGACAGTAACATATTAATTACTTCTTCTATTTGAATTTGTTTTCGCTATTTTTAGTCTTTTAAAAAGCAGAAAAGGGTCTACAATACTTTTAAAATATTGAAAATGATATAAATTACCCTTCATCTATTATTGGGTTCAAGATGCCCTTTTATCCGACTCCAAAATATCCTTGTCATTTGGGTTCAAAATTGATCACTTGTTTAATTGTTTTAAAATTAAACTCTTTAAATATTTTTTAAAATAATTAACGTTAAACTATTGGTTATAATCTAATTTATTAATATAATTTATAAATCAACTTTCTAGCCACTCATTACTAACTAAACCCCACCCAATTAATAATCCAATTATAATATCAAAATCGACATAAACATTACTAGAACACGATGAAATTATAGATTCCTGAAATTGACATCTAAAATTATTCGAGTTCGAATTGAAACCCCAATTAAATTTAGGTTGAGCCGCTTATTTAGGAGGATACTTTCAACAGGATTCTCTTTCAAGATTGAATTAGAAATTTATGATTAAAGGTAAAAAAGTAATACATCCCGAATTAATTCATGCACTTTTTAGAATATAATTTTATAAATATTTATGATTTGTTTTAAAACCTTTAATATATTATTTTGAAAAAAAAATACCTATGAAGTAACATCACATAATTGAGACGTCAGAGTAATTAAGATGAACATAGTCAGACTTTTAAGTTTATCGTTAACTTTTATTGAGACACTTGAATGTATGATAATTCACTACTATAGATAGTTTTGCCTCAAATTTTAAAAAAAAATCAATTGGCAGTAGCTTTTGTGTTTTTGCATTAATAATGTGACGAGTTTATTAATTTGAAGGGGTTTCATTAGTAATGGGTGGGTAGTGGATTGATTTATAAATTATACTAATAAGTTAAATTATAACTAATAGTTGTGCGTCGTGTATTTAAAAAATGTTTAAATAGTTTAGATTTAACACCGTTAAATAAGTGGTCAATTTTGAACCAAAAGGTGGATGACAAGGGTATTTTGAACCCAATAGATGGGTGAGAAAGATATTTTGGAGCCAATAAGTGGATGAGGGTAATTTTATACCATTTTCAATACGTTAAAGGTATTTTAGGCCCTTTTCCGTTTTAAAAAATATATTTTTTGGTAATTTTTTAATTTCATTTTTTTAAATATAAAATATTAAAATTATAAAATTAAAAGAAGGTTTCAAATTATATATATACAATAATATTCTAATATATAGTCATATTTTATTATATAAAAAATAGTCAAAGGTCATAGAAAATATACACAATTATACATTATAATACATTCAAAAAATTTGAGTGCAACTTATTTATACGTGAGTTCTAAACTGATTATACATTATGAATTATGATAAACTCGAAATATAGAATATAATTTAACTATTCATGAAGTATAACGCTGATTATTTATTAAACTATTTTTTATTTATTAAGCTGATTAAAGAATAAAGAAAAGAATGAGAAATAGTTTAAGGGATTATTAGTTATGAAGAATGTGGCGTTTTATTGAAAATAATTCTACTTTATTGAATTCTCACTAACCAAAAACTCTCTCTAAAGAGTCTCAATTTTTCTTTTTATATGAAATCATCTCAAACGTTTAAGACTTTTTGATATATAATTCTCTTAAAAAGATTTTCATTTTAGTATACAAAAAATTTAAATTAAGTTTTAAAACTTTATAAATAAATGATTGATCATCGAAGAAAAAGAAAAGAAAAATGAAAGCAACAACGAGAAAAGATTGCAAAGTAGAATGAGTCAAGAGCCTTAGTGTCAAATATAATTGATTGGACGAGAATTCTCTTGATCAAGATGAGGAAGACAGTATATTTGACTTGGGGGAGGATTCCCTTGATGAAGATGAGGAAGATATGCTCGACATATACTTCGATAGAGTGGCGAAAGAGGAGATATATCATATAGGCAATAAAGAAGTGGAAGCAATAAAATGATAAAAGAAGACACATGAAAGGCAACATAGTTGGAATAGTAAAATAACTGAAGAATTTGTTCCAAGACATCTACCGATGCGACAGGCAAAGCAGAACCATTTGACTGTATCAATAGGTTCAACAAGATCCAACAAATCCATAAAGAAAGTATGAATTATTAAGTGTTGTTGAATAAGTTTGAAGGAAAAGACAAGAGAAAAATAATTTAAGTTACCTTTTTGATGGACAATCAATCTTCTTAAGTCCATCAATCTTTTTAAGTTGATATGTTTGTAATAGAAAGTTTGAGACAGCTAAATTAACTTTCTTCTTGATTGACATATTTTTACAGTATTTAAGCATCCTTATTCGTATTACAAATTTTATGGTGATCAAAAAATACTTAATTTTCTCTAACTGTCTGTTAGATAGTAGACGTTAGGTACTTCACCTTGCACTTAGTTCTATTGATTGATATTTTTATGTTTAATAAAAAGCCACTATACATCGTTTAGTGATAAATTTACGGAAAAAAAAAGAGAAAAGGAAGGAGGACGGAGAGGAGAAGAAAGGAAGACGAAGCCAATAATGGCTAAAGTGAAAAAGAAGAAGAAGCAATTCAACTGATTTTAAATAAAGCTGGGATAATTCAAATTTGTCATGGACAAAAATTATCATAATGGACTTCTATGTGAGAATTATTTGTTACTACATAGTATAAAAGTTCTTGATGTTATATGTGTTGTGTGCACCTATAGTTTATTAACTCATAAAAAATGTATGTATGTAATATATATTATGTCAAGAGAAAAGGCTAGCCTCCTCCTTAATTTTGTACGCATACATTTTTCCTTTCTTTAAGATGATTTTTTTCATAAATTTATCATACTACATATAGTATAAGTTGCTACTACAATTATGTAAAAGAAAAAGTCAAATATTTCAAAAGGTTAAATTGATATGACAAGTTAGGCAGTTACTCTTATCTTTGTCTTTCTCTTTTTACTTTTGGGTTCGATTTGTAATGGTGACTTAATTTTATTGGACTATTACCACTCTTTAATGTTCATATTCTGCAGGTGTTTGTATACAAAGTATGGTAAGTTGTAGGGGCAGAAAAAGAGGGGGGATGGGGTGGTGACACGTGTCATCTGTTAAACTGTGATACACATTAAATTTTTGGACAAGTGAAGTTATGAGTGACAACTGAAAAATGAAGAGAAAAATGAGTTAGGAGTGACACAAAGATGCTTTAGGAATTAAGGGCTAGTGTAGTCAGACAAATTTCAAAATTGTATTATATTCTTAGTATGAATAAAAATATTATTATTAATATTATTTTAAATACCTAAATTCAAAATAAGTCTATCTTATGATCTATTTTACAAATAAATATGAAATAAAAAATTATTTTAAAGTTAATTATTTTTTATCCTTCGTTTCAAACAAATCTAGTTTAAAAGTATCGGATTTTGGATGAAAAAGAAAGGAGTGGGGCTTCACTGATAATAACTGTGTCATTGGAAAGTATTGAAAAAAGTAAGGAAAAAGGAAATGATAGGGACAGGTATTATTATTTTCTTAGAGAATTTTGTGCTTTTAATTTCTCAAATATCGACAAATTCACATTTATCCTCGTAAAATACTCAACTAATTAAGTATATCTTAGGATATCTGAAACTTATTTTTCACAATTAAACTCACTCAAAATGGATATGAATGTAAAATTATGTGTTGAAATATTGAGTCTCTAACATAAATGTCTGATCTTTAATTGTATATGATCAAATTATTGTTAGATTTTATTTGTTAGATTTTTTACCATAGATAAGTTAATGTAGTCTTAAAAGACTTTGAGAGTTCTGGTTAGGGGGAGAATTTATGGGTCACAAGCTTGATACATTATCACTTGTGTGAACCTCGAAGGTATTTCTAGTGAATTGATTGAGGTTGTTTCTCTATGTATTTTGTACTCTCTAATTTATAGTGGATTGCTCATCTCCCTTTTGGACGTAGGTCGATTGATCGAATCACGTTAAATCTTTGTGTTTTGGTATATTTCCCGTTGTCTTCTTACTCGTGATCTTTCGAGATTTGCTTTGCTAGCTTCCGCATTTACACCTACTTATTTTCAATTCTAACAATTCTGTCATGTATGTATCAGATCTATTTTAAAAAAATTAATTATAAAAAAATACACATTTTTACAATTTTTCTTTTTTTTGCTTTCCACCTAGTATCTAAATGTACATTAAAACTTCGACTAATTAAAACTTCGACTAAATTTGAAGGCCCAATTAGTGAGTGACACTCTTACTAAATTTTCTCCATAATTAAGAGTGAAGCACTTTTATAATTTTATCAGTATACACAAACTTATGTTGGTACTTATTCCTTTTCTATCACAACCAACTTTGCTAAATGTATGCGGAAAGTTAGAATTTTGATAAATAGGAGTTTTTCATGGTTGAAAATACTTGAGATGTTGCCATCCAAACTACTTTTTTTTTTAAAAAAAAACAATAATAGAGGTGTCAAATCCAACTTACATATATCTCAATTAATAAATGTAGCATCTACTTGCTATCTCCCATTAAAGCATATTGTAAATAATTTATCCATTAAAATTTCAACAAATA